TTATGGCCCACAGCAAAACTCTATGGGAGATGCGAGAAGTTTGGCTCGATAGAGCGCCTGTTTTCCTGTTAGACCAGTTGCGTCTGGATGATGTAGCTATTGATATGATTTAATATTTATAATAGGTTAACTTTCAAAAAAAAAATTGTTTCTAGGATGAGACTTATTATAGTTTCATTTGAATTTTGACACGGTATCAATATGATTTTTCACTTAAGATGTTCTATCTTAAATCAACAAATTTTAATACCGAAAGTAAGAACCTTATACATATTGCTTTGTAAAAGTAGTTAGCTGTAAATGATTAATGAATTTTAAACTTGTACTACTTGGGTTTCTATGTATTTACAAATATACTATATTGTTTACCCAACAACTCAACTTTGGACCTTACTATTTGATCCTTTTTCATATGCATTTCTTCCGAAGTTCGTAAATATATCTAATAATATTTTAAACTTTTGTAAATGATAATATCATAAAAAATGAGTTCAGTCTGGAAAAGGAATAAACATCTCAATATGCATAATTCAACAATTGATTAGTTTAACTGAAATTTTGAACGTAATTTATAGCTTCAAAATTAAGCCTTTGTCATATCAACTATTTCCGTGTTTTATTACTTATCATTCCATTATGATTTTTGAATTACATTTTTATCTAAAATAATATTTGAAAATTGGAGGATTTGAATTTTTAATATTTTATATTAGGGTTGGACTAAAATTTGACTTACACTACACGTATACATTGGGAAAGAAAGATTAGAAATATAACGAAAACAAAGGAAAAGGAAAACTATTCGGTGCATATTAAATTATGTGATTTTTTAAAATAACTGCCACATATATAAAACGAAAAAGGGGAAAGAGAATTGCTTGGTTCTTTTTTTCCGCAGGGAAGGATCACGTGGAGCTTTTTTGGCAGGGAAATCCATTATGATTGGCTGAATTTTTTTTGGTAGAAAATGGGACGCTAGAAGGGCGTCCCTGCCTGGTACTTAAATTAAACAATTTTGGGTGATACCTATAGTGTCATACTGGATCCAAAAATTATGTTGCTGAACGGAGCCATCCGAATTAACTACTATCCAGTCGGTGGGGGTGGCTGCCAAGAAAGTTCATGTCTGCTTTTAGTAGTCGTCGCGGTGGAAAGTTCCTGGTTGTTGTCCTGCGCTCGCTTTATTGTTGACGTCCAGGCTTTGATCCGGTGTGCAAGGACGCTAGCCTCCAGGAATTTGTGTTCGAAGACCAGGTCATTTCTTCTTCTCCACAGGTACCAAGACGCCACACCAAACAGCAAATTTGTCGCCATCCAGCCTGCAAAGTTTAATCCATGTGTAAGGGAGGACTCAATTATTCCAAGTTAATCCCATACCTGTCTGGCCATAGGGCAAGTTCGAATGACGTGCTCCGCCGTTTCTGGTCCTGATCTGCAGAGCTCGCACGCATCGCTGTCGCAAAGCTTCCTCCGCTTCCTTTCACCGTTTGTCAAGAGGCGATCGTGCAGGGACAGCCAAAGCAAATGCCGTATGCGGTTGGGTCCGGGCCACTTCCAAACGTTCATCCACTTTGGTTGGTTGTTCACATCAACTTCCTTCTCTGTATCTTCTTGCAACCAGTCCACCGCCGCTCTGTACGCGCTACCAAGTCGGAATTGTCCGTCACTTTCCAGACTCCATATAGTGGTGTCCTCCATATAGTGGTGTCCTCCCCTGCTTCATGGAGAGGCGTATCTGTACCTGCAAGTAGAGAGAGCATTGAGTCAGGGAGGTGGTTATTGACAATTTGCCATTTCCACTCACCTGATGAATCCACCATCTCTGCTACTGAAAGGTCCCATTGAATGGCATGCCCATTATTGATAACATAGTCTTTCAAAGCCAGGCCTGCTGCCATCCACTAATCATCCCAGAATCCGACGCTCCTGCCTTTTCCTAATCTCCCAGATGGTATGCTATTTCATAAGAGGCAAAGCCTCCCTAATTCCTTTCCAGAGTCTAGAAGTACGATTCTGGCTGAGAGAGACACTACCACCACCGTTGTGTTTAACATATTTGCCATGCAGCACCCTAACCAAAGGTCTTCTTCATTGTTTAGAAACTGCCAGCCAAGCTTCATCAGCTAAGCGAGGTTCAGGGCTCTGGCCGATCGAAGACCGAGTCCACCCTCCTCCTTGGGCTTGCAGATTGTCTCCCAGGTGACGAGGTGGGTTTTTGCCTTGCCATTTTCCCTGCCCCAGACAAATCCCTTAATCTTCTTGTCAATTATATCGCAAACATGACAGGGTAAGACCGCAGTCTGCATAACGTAGTTAGGAAGCGCATTAAGGATGGAAGTAGCCAAGGTGACCCGTCCAGCAAGCGAAAGACTCTTCGTGACGCGGCCGTGGATAACAGGCACGCCCAAGTATTTACCAAGGTTAGTAGTACGAGGGATTCCCATTAAGCTACTTAGCCTGTTCTTAGTACTTTCCTTAGTATTCCTCGAGAAATACACTCTTGACTTCTCTTTGCTGACTTTCTCTCCAGAAGCTGAGCAAAATTGGTCTAGGCAATCCATCACTGTCCTGGCTTGTCTAACATCTGCCTCTGCTAGGAGCACAAGATCATCTGCAAAAAACAGATGGGTTAGCTGTGGTCCATTCTTAGACAGGCAAATCGGTTTCCAGTCCCCAACCTCCACACACTTTTTAATATTATGATTTAAGCGCTCCATACATAAAGTAAAAAGATAAGGAGAAAGAGGACATCCCTGTCTAAGCCCGCGTGTGGGTTTGAAATCCTCAGTGCAGTTCTCATTCCAAAGAACCTGGAAACTAGCTGTCGTGACACAGGCCATCACTAGAGAGATGAAATCCTGAGGAAAACCAGCGGCATCCAGAGTAGATTTGAGGAAGCTCCAGTTAATCCTGTCATACGCTTTAGCCAGATCAACTTTCAGCACCATCAATCCCTTCGCCCCCTTCTTCTGATTCATAGAGTGTATGATCTCCTGAAGGATGATTATATTGCTGGTTATGTGACGTTTAGGCACGAAACTGGTTTGGTTCTCGTCAACAAGCTCCGGCATCAATAGCTTGAGACGATCAGCAGGCACTTCGCTACGATCTTATAACTGACATTGCATAACCCAATCGGTTTAAATTGAGTCATATTTCTCGGGCTGTCCACCTTAGGCAGCAAGGTGAGCAATGTCGAGTTACAGTTTCTAATCTTCTCTGGATTCTGGAAGCAGCTGTCAATAAGTTCCCGGAGCTCGACCTGAATGGTATTCTAGCAGTGTTGGTAGAAGATAGCATGGAACCCGTCTTTGCCAGGAGATTTCAGGCTCCCCATATTCTTGATGATGCCGCAGATTTCTTCCAGAGACGGAGTAGAAGCCAGCCTGTTCATTAGGGAAGCATCCACTGCCTTGAAGTCCGCGCAAAGATTCTGGACTATAGCCGTATCTGCAGTGAATAACTCGATGTAAAAGTCCTAGGCCATTTTCTGCAAAGTCTCCTGATCTTCAACCCATACTCCATCATCATTTTACAACCTGATGATCTTATTTCTTCTCCTCCGGGCCAAGGTGAAGGTGTGAAAGAAAGGTGTGTTGCTGTCTCCGTTATTGATCCAGTTATCTCTTGATTTCTGCATCCAAAGTAACTCTTCTTGCCAGAGGGTTTGCTCTAACTCTTCCCTGACCCGGGTTTCCTCTTGAATAGTCCTTGGGTTGGGTTTACGATCGTTGATAAGCTCCCATTTGGCCAGCAGCTTCGATAGGGATCTCTTCCTCTTGAAAATGTCCCCGAAAACATCTTTGTTCCATATTTGGAGGGCTTCTTGAAGATCAAGGAGGGAAAGATTAAAATCCCTGCCACGTTTCCAGGCTGCTTCAATGGTATTTTGGAACGTTTCATGGGAGAGCTAGGCCGCCAAAAACCGGAAGGGTCTTTCCTTGTTGGGGGCCGGATTATCAATTGAACTCCGGATGAGAATTGGACGGTGATCTGAACGAATCCGGGGTAGGTGCGTATTCAAAGTATCTGGGAAGCAGTCTATCCAATCCCTGTTGCAGAGGGCGCGATTAAGGCGTTGCAAAAGTCTGCCATTAGTTCAAGTAAACCGCGGACCTGTGTAACCCACATCAATCAAGCTACAGTCGTTGATGCAAGCATTGAAATGGGTTGTTCTCTGAGCATTGAACCCCGCTCCCCCTGCCGGTCAGAAGGATTGCAGATAGAATTGAAGTCCCCAACTAGAAGCCATGGGTTTTTCATGTTCTGCTCAATACGACGGAGGGAGTCCCAAAGCGGAAGGCGGTCGTGGTCGTTCGGCTTCGTGTAGATCGCCGTCATTTCCACTGTGCGATTATCCTGCAAGTTTAAACAACAAAAATGTATGAAATGAGGGTCTCTATCTACATCAGTAACCGTCAATTCCGCAGCCTTCCAGAGGACCCAAATCCCCCCAGATAAGCCAACGGCATCAACTTTCTCAAAGCGATCAAAACCCATTTTAGCAATCACCGCGTCGGCCTCTATCCCACTGATTTTGGGCTCGACGATGAAAACGATATTGGGTTTGGAAGCAAGCATATAATCTTTGAAAGCATAAAGAAATTTGGGGCTTTTATCCCCACGACAATTCCAGCTGAAAACACTAAACATAGAAAAAAGCAAGAGGAAGGGCGGGAAGGGACTCCCTGTTAGTCCGCGCTGATCGGCGTTGGCAGGGTGCTCTGATCCGAGTTGGTCTTCTGGGTTCCGGGAATGGCCGCACTGTCCTCCATTCTCACGTCGCTAGCCGCCGTAGTCAAGGCTTTTCCGAATTCCTCCGCTTTAAGCTTAGATTGGATGATGAAAGACTCTATATCCCGCTGGGTGATAGGGAAGGTGGGTTCCTTCACCAGCTGATTTACTTCGCGCTTCATCACTGTGGAGTTTTGAATTGGCTTCTTCGCAATTTTCAGATGTCGATCGTTCTTATTCCCAGGGCTAGGCGAACCGTTGGTATTTTATTCCTCGAAATGTTGCCTGACTGAATGAGAGGTTACATTTGGGTTTGCGTTTTCCTTCATAGTAACTTCTGGGCTTAGCTTGACCAAAGATGGGCTGGAAGAGAGAATTCCCATTGCTAGGTCGTTAGGGCCAGCAACATGTGGGCTCTGAGTCCGCGGCCCAGAGTCAGTAACCAGGCTTTGGATGTTGGAGGCATCCTTGACAGCTCCCATCGGAACCCACTCCTGAGAGCCGTTGATAATCTTCTTGTTTCCCTGTGCAGGTTTACCTCCATCCGCTGAGCCTTTCCCCTTCTGAAGATCCGATTTTCCTTTCTTGTGTTCGGATTTGTGATTCGCCTTTCCTTTTCCATCATTCCCAGTCGTCGTGCCGTGAGTGTCTCCCTTCGAATATCCAGTGCTTTTGGTCGTTTGCTTTCCCTGGTTGGTAGGTTTTACTGGATAGTTCCCTTGATTGTCGCTGACTTTCCTAGTTGGTTTGCGAGATTTGCGCACCACCTGCATCCAAGGACCATAGCCGGTCGGCGGCTCCACCGGTGATTCGATCTGGGCGGCGCCGCTTGTTGATTGCACTGTAGACCCTGAAGTTAGCATAGTAACCAAGTTGTTCGGTTTCTTTGGGCAGGTGTCCTCCGAATGGCCGATTCTTCCACATTCGAAGCAGATTTGGGGGAGGTTTTCATACAGAACTTGTTGCCAGAATCCGTCCAAGCGAATGCGGGTCGGGAGAGGTTTCATCATGTCCAGTTCTATGGCAATCCTTGCAAACTTCCCCCTTTCTATCATCTCTATGTGGTAATCCAATTTGACAGTTCTACCTATAAGATTGCCGAGCGCGAACAAGACTTCCCGGTGGTAGAAATGTACAGGGAGCTCCGGTAGTTGGACCCAGGCGGTGATAGATTTGTGAATCTTGTCGGACGTTCTAAACTTTGGTGACCAGGGATGAACCACGAGGTAATGGTCGAAGAACGTCTCGTTGTTGAGATCCATGATGTCCATTGATCCAGTTGGGCGCCACTTCCATCTGAGTTGGGAGCACAGATAATTGTACGAAACCGATCGCCCGAGCAACCGGATAACTAAGGTTTTCTTTCACGGAGAACATAGTCTTTCTTTGAATTTTTCTGAGACTTTCAGCTCTGGTTCCCCCGCAAAGGATCCGGCCACCAGATCCTGTTCGCCAACGAAAGTCCACCGATTGGCGGTGGTTTTTGGATCGTGACCTTGACCTGAGAGCGCTGACTTAAAATTCAGCGGCGGAAAATTGGAGGGGTTCGCTAAGGCTGATTCCTTCGTGTGGACGGGACTCATCGCCTTAGCTAAGGAAGGTGCAAAGGTTTCAGGGAGGGAGATGGCATCCGGCGGACGGCCAGTTTGGGCGGCAGCCGGCGCCGAGAAGTGAGCAAAGAGTTGAGTTTCAGAGAGCATTCCAGTGAGGCTGAACTCTTTTATCCAAAAATTTTATGATTGGTTGAATGAGGTGCTAACGTGGAGGCATGATTGATGAGAGAATTTGAAATGGAAAAGACTTTTTTTTTTTTTTTTTGACAAATGAAAAGACTTTTTTGGGAAACTTTATAATATATTCTTTAGAAGATTAGATAATAATAAAGAAGATTATAGCTCTCGTGATCGGAACAAAATAATATTGTTTATTAGTAAAAAAAATTATTTGTTTATTTTATGCTTCTCTAATCTTTCCCACAAAAATCCTGCGCAATAGCCGAACAGCTCGGATAGAATTACCGGCGTGGTCTCTTGATCGTCGGCGGTAAAGTGTAGGTCAACACCTCGCATAGAATTGACCGTTTCACGCATAAAGTTCATCTTCTTATCGGCTGTCACCCTCGCCCCTGATGATGACGATGGGTATTGGTTATGGCTGAACAACGGCAACAGGGTGGTCGATTTTCACGGTAGGGGCGATATTGGGAATAATCGAGCAACGGGGATGGGGTTGATGACGGTCAGAAGGTGGTTCGGGATTTGAGTACACTTGGCCAATCAGATGGTGGAAATTGAAACCAAAAGGGCAAATTGAATCGACGACGGTTTAAACAAGGGGGAGGATCCTGAATTAGAGAGGGGAGCCTTAATGACGATGGTGATTTCGAGGCTGTCGGGATCTGGATGGTGAGTGGTGGCGGTCGACCAGGGACAACAACGACGATGGTGGTTAATTGGCACAACAGAGACGATGATGGGACGACCGGACGGCGACAATTGGGTTGATGACGCAAATGAAATCTGAGTACCTGACCGTCGAAGATTCGGGATTTGGGTGGTTATGTCTGGTCGGCGGCAGCAACGATGGTGATTGTGGGTTGCTACTGCGGAAACAATGCTAGCGATGATGAACAGAAGGCTGCTTCGGGGCTAATGACGATGGTGATTTTGCCTGACAAAGTTGGGATTTTGGTGGTGATGTCAATCGACGACAACAACGATCGAGGTGGGGGATTGCTTCCACGAAAGTGTTGCCTGGGTTTACAATGGAAGGACAAAAGGAGTGAAGGGAACCGGCTGTGCTGCTTTGTGTTTTGTTACTTAATTTATGTTTTATTAATTAAACAACTAAACCAGAACCAGAGTCACCCAATAAATTACATACCCAACCATCTTAACCGGTTTGAATAATATGGCGGCATTAGTGCCGCCACTTTACCACAGAATTTCGGTCCAAGATAGGGTGCATAACTCATGGTTATGCACCCGTCAGTAAACCAACATGAGCCGTCGATCTGGAGCGAGGAGATCTAACGGCTGGGGTCGGAGCGGGGTGGGGTAGGGGTATTTTTGTCCATTATTTGAATTTATGTCTTTCCCTCTTGGTTCCTTTTTGGTTATTTTCAGCCGAGCTAGAATTGGATTTATGAGATAGAATGAGAAGTAAACAAAGCAATCGAGAGCTTTTCTCCGAAGGATTACTCGATGGCGAGAAGGTCGGTGGAGGACGCGATTCTTAGCTTAATCGGCGGTGGACTTGCAAGTTATTAGTTTTTAGGTTTTCTTCTTCTCTTTTCATCTTCTTGCTCAAGGTTGTGGTGCGATTTGCTTGTGTTGAAGTTTCTACTGGATGTTGTTTGGTCTCCGTCGAGGTAATTTATAGTTATAGTAGGATTTTATGTTTTCGCATTGATTCGGTTCTGTAATTTGTTTTTGATTTTGTGTATATATGATTTATCTGCGTTTTCTCTTTTGTGCTCTCTGTTTTTTGTTCTTGGTGATCTGTTTGTATAAGTTTGATCTGTTTTGTATAAGTTTGTTCAGTTGATTGATTCGTAGTTGAATTTATATTTTGTGCATGAATTTTTTGAATGTTCTCTGTTGACTCGGCTTTTTTTACTGCAATGAGTGATCTTAATCAAGGCGTCATTGTTTCTTTGAATGAATCTAATACTGGATCTAGTTCTTCACATAGCGTTGTTGAATTGGGAGGTAAGAATTTTAAATGCGTTTGGTAAGTTGAAGTTTGTATATATGTTATACCATACTGGTATTTATGGTATTTTTGCATATGAGTGTTGTGTTTTATTTGTTGTAGATTGTTTTTATAGTTGTTGTGATTTTATGTTTCTGTATATATGTTATACCATAGAATACCATGTTATACCATAAAAAATCATACTGGTATTTGTAGAGTTTTTGAATGTAATAAACTTTACCATATTATACTATGGTGGTATTACATTTTGTACAGAATTAATGTTTCATTCTTTTTATGTTTTAGGTTTTGATGGTATAGATCCTAATGTTCGAAGTTTCTGGAACAAGCTTGAGTTCGGTACAACTGATGATGCATATAGATTTTATGTGGATTATGGGAACTATAAAGGTTTTTGTGTGAGGATTTATCATCAGTCGGCATGTCCAAAGCTTAATAATGGTTCGATGGCGGTTTATTATATCAAGTATTGTTGCAATAAGGAAGGCTGGAGGATTGGTAGTGAGAATAATCCTGCTAATCGTGGTTCTATTGATGTGAAGGATCGTGTTCGTCGTGTTCCAGAAATCAGGGGATGGTGCCTGTATTCGAATTAGGTGGTTTAGGGAGTTTAAGTGTTATAAGATTTATAAGTGGTCTCCTCCTCGTCGGCCGCTTTCCCCCATCCATTCTCTCTCTCGATCTCAGATCTATCTACCCTGCCGGCCGCTTTCCCCCTCCTTTCTCCTCTGTTGAGCGGCACAAGCACCCGTAGGTGCCATCGCAGGTCTTGCAGGTTGAACCTCTCCATGTCGCAGGAACAACAGCCAATTCGCCTGGTCGATACTCCTCACGGCCTGCACGTGGGCCCTGCTGCCGCCGACGACAACTGAGCTTACATGGGAGGCCTGAATGCTGCACGAAACTCACGGTTGGCGCATCGGTGGAGGAACGAGAATGACAACGGGAAGGAATGAGAATGACGGTGGCGGCGGTTTAGAAGATGGAGGGGCTGCACATGGCTGTAGTGGGGCCGCACAAACCTTTGTTGCTTAAAATTTCTAGGAGGAAGAAGTAACATTATTCGTCCTCTTCCATCGCCGAGTTGTTGTCTCACCATTATCCGTGCCAGAGAAGGATTTGCAATGAGTTTTGACGGAGAATATTTGGGATTTTTGGGTGATTACTCAATTACACACCTACCGGTAATTGCCTTGTGGGCTCGTGGCTTCCCTTCGCTTACGAACTAATTCCAGCCTAATCAACGGTAAAGAAAATAAAATTAAGTCATGTTTATTAGTTTATCTAATGAAGATAATTGGTCCATGGAGTTGCGACTTCTGATCTTATTGGGAAGCCAAGTTCACTGGAAAGCACACCAGAAATTCCCAAATACATACCACTAATTTCGTGAAACATACCAGAAACATTAGAAAGCAAATCATAAATATTTTTAAAACACACCAAAAAACTTTTAATGTGAACCATAAATCTTATGAAGCAAACGAGAAACATTATAAAGCATACCATAAATATTTCTAAAACACACTAGAAATCTCCTATTCACCATCACAAACACGGTAAAACAAACCACAAAAAACATACCAGAAACCTCCCAATGCATACCATAAATCACATAAAACAAACCAGAAGTCCCACAAAACAAAGCTCAAATATTTCATAATCACACCATAAACCTCATAATGTAAACCACAAACACGGTAAAGCAAACCACAAAAAGTAAACAAAAAACGTCCCAATGCAGACTAAAAATCTCTTAAAACAAACCAGAAACCCCACAAAGCAAACCACAAAAATTTGTAAAGCACACCAAAAACTTTTTAATGCAAACCCAAAACACGATAAAGCAAACCACAAAAGGCATACAAAAAAACATGAGAAAACCAAACCATAAATCTCGCAATGCAGACCATAACATCTGGTGGTCGTTGACCGTTGACCAAACTCCGACGACCGTCAGTGAGCAGATTCCGGCGCCGATAGACATATTCCGGCCCTGATAACTAGATTCCGACGCCGGTAAGCATATTCCGACCACGGTGAGCATATTCCAGTGACAGTGGCATATTCCGATGAGAAAATAGCATATTCCGGCAACGAAAAGCATATTCCGGTGACCGGATTCCAGCGACCAAAATTTTGGGCAGAAAAAAATTTGTTTTTTATTTTTTATTATTGTTTAAACATAATTTTCATAATGACAATTATACCCCTGTTTTGATTTTACACTAGGTCAACTCAACTAATAAAAAGTCATCACATCCCTACCTTTCTATTGAAGCTTCAACGGAGCTTCCCCTAGGGAGGGGAAAATAGACCAGATCGTTAGGAAAATCGTGGTCTAAATCGAACCGCACAATTTGGTGCAAACCGTAGACCGTTAAGTAGGATCTAGTCTGTATTATTTGATATTTTGAGCTTTTGGTCTGGTCTGGTTTAGATCGCAATTTGTCGGACCAAACTGTGGACCCAACCGACTTGTCAATACGTTTTAGTAGCCCTTTCAACCATTCTCCCAACTCCCACAACGAGACCCAGGTCTCAA